AGCTTGAAGATCTCTAGAAACGCTGAAGACATCTACAACTTCTATCTGTACTCACCATGATTGTGGCAACTCTTGTGTAGAATATCAAAACCCAAACAACTCCTGCTCCTTTTATACCTGGAAGTTTACTTGTTTTTAGGTCACGGACAACCTGTAGTGGCATTTCCAAGACATCAAAACTAGGACAAAATCTCGGACGAAAAAAAAAAGTGAAGAGTTGATAGTTCACGATCTAAGATAACAGGGGAATGCCATGTTATTACGAGGTCTGTCCTAGAAATCTTCCAGGCAAAACGATGGCCACGGATAATAATAATGGTATTGACATTATAGTTTTAATTGTTACAAAAAAAACCCACAGTGTTCATAGGTTATATTAAACTGAAAAAGAGGCCTGTGCGTCCCTGCACAAGATAGCTACCAATGTATACTTTCTTAGTGAGTGGCTGGTGGGTGCTCTGGCGTGGTGTCTTCCTTCTTTCTTACTAAACATCAATCGTCCGTATCTCCCCTCCACCGTTGTTTTAAATAGAGTATAATATAATGTTTTATCTTTTGTTAAATAATAATATTCTATACTTTTTTGTAAGTAACATCTTCAATCTTGGGCACTTATAATACCTTTTTGTTTCTTGCAAATGCCGTACAACTCTTTTTAAAACGAAACTGAGTCGTGTTTCTGCACTTCAGAACATGCCTCCGCTTTATGCAGAGCTTTAGTATGACACAACATCAGAGCAACAAACAGTTCTCTCGGTACAGCTGTGTGCCAGACCAACCTCTGAGAATCACCACAGCTGTGTCTGTTCTGGGCTCGGGTTCCCCAACAAACGACTCTGACACCAAAACAGAATGAAAATAAAACGAGGGCGTTCAGGCACAGAAAACGAAGAAGGACACTAGTAAAAGTGTGAAACCGTGGGAACGCAAACACCAAACGGACAAGGGTGTGTCATTGTTTGGTACAGTTTTGTTCCTTTCCTTTTCGTGTTTGTTTATATTTTTATATTTGTGTTTTTCGAGCTATTAATAGACAAAGACCCAGATACGTTTAAAAGAGAAGACAGATACATTTTCCTTTTTCGAGATAATAATAGAGAAAGACCCAGATATTGTTTATCCGGCCCCAGAGCTTGGACACGCTTTCCCTTGTCTGACCTTCACCTTAAGCTAGTTTGCATTCTGAGAATTAAAGTTGAATATTTTACTATTACTGAGCTTTGAGCAAAGTTTCAACAACGACACAGACCACCATCTGTGGTGTAGTGATTAGGCGCTTCGCTGTCGCACACAGGAGACCTTAGTTTTATAAATTTGGTTTTTGTACGGTTTTACGGAGCTCACAACTGCATAAGGCCATAAGGAATGACGTGTCTTTTTCTGCATGGCACTGTCTTGTAATATCTCTAACCTTCGGAACTTACGTGACCTAAGTGTGTTGCTAGTGCCGTAAAACTAAAGAATACATATTTCTCCAAACGTGAACAGACCCCCGAAGAGCCTGAACATAACCTCCTCTTAGAGAACCCTGAGACAGGAAACACACAACACACACACACACACACACACACACACACACACACACACACACACACACACACACACACACACACACAC